CAGCACTGAAGCTTGAAGTTGCCAACAGGCAGCCAAGAAAATTAAAGGATTTGGAGAATTTCTGTAAAGAGGAGTGGGCGCAAAATCCCTGCTGAGATATGTGAAAAAATGGTGACCAACTACAAGAAACATCTTACTGCTGTGCTTGCCAATAAGGAGTTATCTACCAACAGAGATGGGTGTTACTGTAATCTGATTACTTTTTTCAAGTAACGAGTAAAGTAAGGGATTACTATTGCAAAAACGGTAATTAGATTACCGTTACTTTCCCGTAGGAACGCTGCGTTACTGCGTTACTAAAACCATGATTTTTTTGCGAGAATGTCTCATGACAGTGACGTAAGCGAGTGCGACGTTCGTGGCAACAGCTGTGTGCAGATCAACAGTGGATCATATATCGAGGGGGGAGAGAGTATGAGCGTGCAGCGTTTAAAGTGTGGAAGTACTGACCTTACTTTGATTCAATAAAAAGTGACAAAAACATTAGCGTCCGCTGTGCGTGGGAAGAAAACTTCTTTTTACAGCGAAAAAAACCCCTAAACTTCCGAGCAAGCACCAAATGTGCTATTACGTAATGTGAAACTCACATAGAAACTCATGGATTCTTCAACTGACCGCTGCGGCACACCTGCACCAGGGTAAACCTCCGCCTACCCCACTCCTGCTTTACAGGTGAAAATAGAGCAACAGGACCGCTGAGTCTTTGACTTTATTTATGTTCTGCTGTGTTTTACTTGCATCTATTTGAAAGACTGAGTGTAAACACAAAAAATATTTTATTTTATGTGCTGGAATGTGTAGAAAAAAAGTTTAAATGTTAAACTAATTTATTCAAGTCAGAGAATGTTGCATATAATTAAATTTTTGCTTGATGCATAAAGTTAAAAGCTTAAAACGAATAAAACAAGTTTTAAAAAGAGACTTTTCCATTTGATTACATTTTGTATGATGGATTATGTAGAAAAAGTAGAAGTGGGCTGAAAGATCTATCGCTTTATTACCTCTTCAGATTGTAAATCGTGTTTTTAAAAAGTAAATAAGTAACTAAGTAACTAAGTAATTAATTACTTTTGAAAATAAGTAATCAGTAAAGTAATGGGATTACTTTTTTGGGGAAGTAATCAGTAATTAGTAACTGATTACTTTTTTCAAGTAACTTGACCAACACTCTTTACCAAGTACTAAAAGTGCATTTTAGTTTAAAGTGGACATGAAACACTACATGTATAAAGGCTAATTTACACCATCGAGCCCAGAACTCAAAAATCGGACATAGATGCAACTCTGTCTGTGTATCTGCAGTTATTTATTGAAGAAATAGTGCTCAACGTTAACGTTTAAAGAACATTTTTAGTGCTATTTGTGCCATTACAGAACAAGACATCATCGGTTGGTTGGAGTCAATAGACATTACATTAGTTTATGTTAACTAACTAGTAACACAGCCAATAACTGAGGGGGATAATAAATGCACTAAAAGCACTTTTCTGCTATATAAGCATATACTGTCCACTTTCACTGTCTGTCTCTTTAGTAGTACCTGGCTCTTCGATGTTTGGCTAGCTACACTAAAACAGGAAAATAGAACTGTAAGGCGTAATGTTCGGGTTTGCAAAGCACTTTTTGAATGAGGACAGTGTGGAGGAGAGTCTGTTTTTGAGTCAGGCGACAGATGATTCACTGGACGGACAAGCTGGAGTAAGAAACTCAGATTTTTCCTCCTCTGGCTGTACAGAATCGTGCAATCAGCTGATGCGATCGGCACTATTTTATGCAATAAAAGAGTCTCTCTTTTTTCCAAGCACATCCAGACAGTTTACAGCATAACAGATTACTACATGCAAATCACACCACAAGCATAACTACGTTTCTTACCAAAGCACGATTGGGAATCCCATGAACTGCAGGAAAAATGTGTCGATGTGTGTGATGGACAAATATTAGAAATGAAGAATGTGATATAAACCAGTTTAAAATAAAACTCAAAAAAGAAATTTTAAATAAGTATAAGAATGAAGAAAATACAATTAACCCAAGACAGCAGTCAAAGTGATGTTTATTTCTTTCTGCAAATTAACAAATCTAAATATAGTTTTAGTTGAACATGAGAAAATATTTTTATGTTCTAAGTTGAAGGCATTGTATACGTTTTTGTTGTTCAAATTTAGATGATGAGGATGTAAACCTGAGGGGGTCGGGCTAAATAAGTATATACTTCTGCCTTTTCAAACAACTGCATGGAAAGATTTTATGAAATGTTGGTGAATGTATATGTTTGAAATAAAAATGAACTGAACTGAACTGAGGAAAAGTGAAGCCCAAACGTTAGTGAGGGGGAGCGTAATGTGGAGATTAGTGCTGTCAGCGTTAACCTCGTTAGAATGACGTTAACACCATAACCGCACTAATGTGGCAAATTGCCGTTAGCCAGTAAGCGCGGATCGCCTTGTGTGTGGGGTTGCACAGCGCTAATGCGTTAACGAACTAACCGTGCTAATGCGTTGATGCCGTGCAGCCCCACGCACGGGGCGACCCGCGCTTACTCGCTAACGGAGATTTGCCGCGTTAATGCGGTTATGGCATTAACGTCATTTTAATGAGATTAACGCTGACAGCACTAGTGGAGATTTAAAAAAATTTTTTCCTATGGACATGCTGATGGACGTTAAGATTTTCAATCGTGTTTTGGTAAAAAACATAGTTATGTTTGTGGTGTGACAAAAAAAACAACCTGTTTGGATATGCTTGGGAAAAGAGAATATTATTACATAAAATAGTGCTGATCACACCTTGTGAGAAACTGTTTTAACAGCTGACTGCACAGTTCAGGCCTGGTGAGGAAAAGCAGCACAAAAATTTTACAGTCCTTATTTTTCCCTGGGTTATTGGTTGTGTTACTAGTTAGCTAACATAAACTAATGCAATGTCTGTTGACTCCAACCAACCCGATGATGTAATGTTCTGTAACTGATACAAGATGGCGCTACACATATTCTAAAAACGTGAACTTTAAGCATTTCTTTCTTAAAACCAGCCACACATACAGAGTTACATCTATGTCAGTTTTTGAGAGCAGGGCTACAGGCAGTGTAAATTAGCCTTTATGCAGTTTTTCATGTCCACAAGTCAGAAGCTGAATTTGTGGAATTAACCCCAAGTTAACAGTCCAAGATGATGGCAGTGAACATCAAACATTAGAAAACCTGTAAAATCTTTAATCCGTGCAGCCAGTGTTGCAGCAGTCGGGTTGTAAAGTGCAAAAAAAGTACTGTATTGTATTGGTAACGATACATGAATGGCTCAACCGTCCTAAGACAAGAAAAAGTTTTTCCTTCCTGTAAGAATGCACTCAGCTCTGGAGTAATGACATTCCCAATATCCATCATTTCAGGTAACTAGAAAACGGCTTGGAAATCCAATACATATTTCACTCAATGGCGTCCAAATACATTTCGAACTTTTATGTTTTTATTCTGGATTTTTGTGTGTCATTCTTTCTCCATTAAAATGAAACTACCATGAACATTTGAGAGTGTTCATTTCTTTATAAATGAGTAAACTTTGCAAATTCAGCAGGGCATCAGATAATTTTCCCCCCACTCTAAAAGAGAAAAGCAGTAACATCTCTAGATTTGTTTAACTAGAAGAACCAGATTTTTTTGTTTTTCCATTTGTGGAGCTGTGTAGTGTCACCCATCAGTTTCATAGACTATACAAATACTGGACAGACTGCCATGTGAGTTTAAACAAATGATCATGAATCCTAATGGCTGGTGACCATAGATTCATCCTGAGGCTATGAGCCCCTAAATACACTTAAACGTTCTCTCACCTGCGTCTTGCATCTCTTGGTAGTTGTTTTGTGACTATTTGAAGTCTCTTTCGGGTGATGTTATTTGTGGTTGTTTGTTCAATCATCAAAGTGATTATTTTCTTTTGCGCACTCTTTGCAAATTCAGGAAGAATTTATTTAAAATTTTTGTTTTCATTGAACTCCATACTAACCCTAAAAAGTCATACATGATTACCTATGCAAACAGCACTTAAATGTTAAATGGACTGGTACTTATATACCTCTTTTCTACTCAATATGAGCACTCAAAGGACTTTCTACCACAAGTCTTTTTCACCCAATCACACATTCACACCACTTTTATCTAGTGCTTCTAGATGCATCAGGGGCAACTTGGGGTTGAGTGTCTCGTCCAAGGATACTTTGACATGTGGACTGGAGGAGCCAGGGCTCAATCTACCAACCAAATTGGTCGACACCTGCTCTCCTACCTGAACCACAGCGACCTGGCTCTTAAGTTTTAAGGCTCTTAAACAATCTAACAAATATTTAAGTTATATAATTTAATTTTTATTCTGCTTAAAGCTTTGTTGCCCAGGACTTATGAGCTAAAGTTAAATATATGTATCTCTGAACATTTAAATATGTACTTCAAAGGTTGTTTAATCAAATAAAATCAGAAGCTGCACTTCCAGCTAGTTTTTAGGACCACTACTTTAAATCTTATGAGCTTTTACTCATGTGTTTTATTTGAGCTCCTATAATGTTATGTGATTCAATGACTAACACTGTTATTTAAACATTGTCTCATTAGATTGCTTACAATCATTGACAAATATTGACATGTTTCTATGGTGCCAGATTGTTTGTATGGTAATTGCTAATATCAGAAAGATGATTCAGATTTTTTCTAGCAACATTTGTAGTTGCTGAGATTTGGCTTTGTGGGCTAGAGTAGCTCTGAAGGTAGTCTGTATATATGCAATATCCATGCATAGTTAATTAAGATAATTTTTGCAAATAAAATGCATTAATATTCAATATCTCTGTTTAACTATTGGTAACTTTCTGTGGCGTGAAAAATCCCACGTGTCCCCATCAATCCATAGAATTATTCATATTGTGATATGGCCAAAAGAAGGAGAAGCTTGCTGTATTAGTGGATGCAGCTTAGAAAAGAAATAACCCACCATGCAAAGAAGATATATTGGTAATCCAGTTGGTGGTATATAAGACCAGGCTTACATGCACATAGTGAATATTAAATTCATAGAATGGATGGACAGGAGGCATTATTCAATGAAGATGTCTTCAGTGGGACAGGAGTAGCCGACGTGCTCCTTGTAATACTGCTGGAATGCCCTCCTGTTGGGAAAAATAGCACAAAAGATTCCATAACCAAGCAGACCAGGTCACTGGAAATGGTTGATTTACAAGCTACAAGCCAGACTGACTTGTTCTAATGGTCCAGCCAGTGTTATGGCAAAATGTGACCCTATTGTACTTATTTTGTGTACATAAACAAAAATTGTTTTAAAATCAGCTTTAAACCTAATATATTTCAACAGAAGAGTGTTTATGTGTGTGAATGTGCTGCTGAGAATCCTCAAAGGGAACTCATCGAGAAAAAAGCTCTTTGAATGACATGGCAGCTGTTATATTTGAACCCAAAACACGATCCTTTTATAAACCTTTTATTGTCTAATGTTTTTATTTCCTGAACCTAACCAAGTAGTCAAGGCCCGCAGCCTTCTGCATTTAACACAGTTCTGTTGTAGAAATCATTTTGCAGGCCAATTCATGAAAATCGTGCCAGTGAAGACCATTCCCATCAGCCACTAATGCAAGTGAAAACTCTACATGGCAAAGAAATAACGAGACATAAAAGGAATCCAGAAATGCTGCTGTATAAATGCTGTATAGGTATTAATTGGGTATTTAAAATCTCATATCTAGCATGAAAACATTTAGCTTTTAAAACTACAACTGGCCTCCTGGGCTTCCAGCACTTTTGTTGTTGATAAGGTTGTAATGTAACATTGGAAAATATTCCACTGTTCTTTTAATAAAAAAATGTAATTATATTTTTTCTTATTTATCTTTTACACAGCCTAACATCTTTTTTGGAAACAGGTTATATCTCCATGTTGTTTTGTTAAGGATGAAAACAAAACTGTAGCTAATAAAAGCCTCCCAACATCAGCCTTGTTACTTACTGGACACCATAGTGACCATAGTGAATTGTACTTAACCTCGGTGATGTGTTTTTCCCCCCATAAAACAATTAAAAAGACACTACTTTCTCAGAGCTTTCATCTGTCAGAGTTTGAAACCCTGATAGAAATCGTAACACACTATAAACTAGTGTCTACAGAAGTAATAATCCCTCTGCAGCATGTCCATAGATAGGACAGTCATATGCATTGAATCTTAAATATAATTGAATTAAATGCAGAGCAGAACACAGTAGAGTAGGACTTACCCGACAGATTCTGCTAAAGGATGTAAAGTTGTTTGTGACATCAGGACATGACAAGCAAAGCGCTGCTGGTCAGGGTGCTTGGTGATGAAGCCAAAGTACCTGCAGTGCAGATAAAACAATTATTTCCAAAGGTTTAATTGAGCCTGTTGCAGGATGAAAAACAACAGAGCAAGCAGCACACAGAGAAGATTCATGTTCATAAAAGTTAACTAATCTCTCACGAGGTGAGGGAATTGTAATACAAGCCATCTAAAGCATTTGACTCACCTGCTGTATTTTGGATGACAACCACAGAATGAAATATTTTTCAACTGGAAGAAATGGAAGCACTGGTCCCCCTGATAACAACAAAGACAAACAGCCATGTAAACATGTAATTCTGGAATATTACTCTAAATTAACATCATAGTTAGAAACTTTTGTTAAGCTAGAATTTTAATTAATTCATTACAGTGAATAACATTAGAAAATGTTGTTAAATGGTAACTTACAACTGGAGAAATCAACTACCAGTAGATCTATTGGAACTAAAGTCCCATAGCAAAGTCACCGGGTAGCAGTCAACAATTATATTTAAGATAACTTTATGAGTACATCACTAAGAGTTGATTATCTTCTACCTAGAGGGGCTATGATGCCACTGACAGTTGTTTGCCCACTCCGGGTCGGGGATGAGTTCCTGCCCCAAGTGGAGGAGTTCAAGTATCTCAGGGTCTTGTTCGCGAGTGAAGCGAGAAGGGAGCGGGAGATCAACAGACGGATCGGTGCTGCACCGGTCCGTCGTGCTGAAGAGAGAGCAGAGCATAAAAGCGAAGCTCTCAATTTACCAGTCGATCTACGTCCCTACCCTCAACTATGGTCACGAGCTGTGGGTAGTGACCGAAAGAACGAGATCGCGGATACAAGCGGCAAAAATGAGCTTGGCCTCTCCCTTAGGGATAGGGTGAGAAGTTCAGCCATCTGGGAGGGGCTCAGAGTAGAGCCGCTGCTCCTCCACATCGAAAGGAGCCAGCTGAGGTGGTTCGGGCATCTGACAAGGATGCCTCCTGGGCGAGGTGTTCCTGGCAGGTCCCACTGGGAGGAGGCCCTGGGGCAGACCCCGGACACACTGGAGAGATTATATCTCTTGGCTGGCCTGGGAACGCCTGAGGGTGACCCGGGGGCACCGTGACCCGGCCCGGATAAAGTGGAAGAAGATGGATGGATGGATAGTGAATATAACTTCTTAAATTTGAACTTATGCAGGACTTTTCTAACTAAGAATGCAACCACATTCAGCCATTAATACATTGCTTCTATCTGTGCCTTCATTCTGAGCAATTTGAGGATTTGTAGCTTGCCTAATGACACTTTGACAAATGGGCTGGAGGCCTCTGATTAGAAGATGACAAGCTTTAAATCATGAACCATGTGAATATGTTAGGTTATGTTAGGTTGTAAGTACACAAGAAAATGCAATATTTAATATTGGGTTTGTTGTATTTAGAAATTAAACCCATCTCAATGTATTCAATTGACATAGTATCACAGTGTGACCACAATAAGGACCCACCCACAGGGTGTTGCACGTTGAGAGGTGTTTTATTGATAAGGGTTTTTGACACACTTTGTTCGCGCAGCTTTTTAACTGCCTTTTCCTGAAATAGGAAAAGCATGACCCAGTGATGGACCACCTTAGACTACCTTGAACTTAAAAGGCCAGCGAGCCAGATACCACCAGGTGATCTGGGTGTTATCATCCTTCATGTAATAGAGCCACTGCACTCAGCCAGGGTCATGGTAGCGTCTAAGCTGGCTGGCCGTTGGCAACGGACCCACCTTGAGGTCTCTGCGGTGAGCCCAACTATGAACTGCTTTGTCACCACCAGCTCCACGATGCAAGCGTCCCTTTCAGCAGGGGTTGGTTGCAGCCACCGCCACCACGTCACAGAGCCCCCTAGCATAGGCAAAAGGCTGGCCCTCCAGACCCATTTATTCCTCCTGGAAACACCTGCAATAGTCCTCTGACTCAAGGCTCAAATGTTCCACTACCGCCTGGCAAATGGCAGACATCCACAAAGCTGCTCCACGCTCAGAGACACTTTCGGCAACACTGTGACAGGAATAAGGACTCATGCACACGGTGTTGCACGTTGACAAGTGATTTATTAAAAAGGGTTTTTGACACACTTCCATCTCCTGCTCAGCACACCACACCGCTCTCTCGTTAGATGCCAGCATCCTCCTGAAATAGGGAAGGAATGACCCTGTAATGGAGAACAGCTGTGTGGGTCAACCTCTGACACACCACACCCTGAACTCACTGCTCCACCCCTCCTATGCTAAGCCACAAACCACACACAGAAAACAGAAACAGCATATAAATGTGGATGAAAACAGTTTCTTTTCTGAAGACTAAAACAACAGAAAAAAATATTTTCAATAAAAATTAATAAAAAATAAATAAATAAATAAAGATGGGAATTTTAAAAATTAAAATGGCATATCGTTAGCTTCATAGCATAAGTGCCTAAGTCATTTTTTTGTGTTTTCGGAAAACAAGAAAAAACAAATTTTCTAAAATTTAGAAAATTAGTTTTTTCTTGTTTTCCGAAAACACAAAAAAATGACTTAGGCACTTATGCTATGAAGCTAACGATGTGTTGGATAATATTTGATATATTCTAAAACACAGAACACAATTTTTTTATACTTTCTTTTAAAGAGCTGTTTGATCAGCTTAAAGCTGAGAGCACATCCAAAACCTGATTTTTTTT